TCCCTCCCTACCAGGTGATCCAGGAGGAGGAAAGAACTGGTCAGATTTGTTTGGCTAGACACACCCCAGGCTGTGTTGCTGGGACAGCTGCATGCCAGGCATTCCTGACCCCCCCCCCCCCGCCCTCCACCCTTCCCCAGAAGCTCCTGCTACCTCTCACCTCTTTCTCTTGGTCCAGCCTTGACATCTTCCTCTTCCCCCACCCCAAGGAATCCCCTACCTGCATCCTGCATTCCAGGCAGCCCTCCATTTACAACTATGGGGCTGGCTGAAGACTCCTGGGAGTTGGAAGCCCACCCCTCTCCCAGTGGCCAGCGTTGAGAAACCCTGGGCTAGAGCAGGGGGGTCTCCAACCTTGGCCGCTTTTAAGACCGGTGGACTTCAGCTCCCAGAATCCCTCAGTCAGTGCTTTAGACTTCCTGTTGCTGTGGCTGGCTGGCTGGCTGGGGAATTCTGGGAGTTGAAGTCCACCAGTCTTGAAGCGGCCAAGGTTGGGGAGCCCCCCCCCCCGGGCTTAGAGAGGGTTGAGCTCTTGCGAGCAAGGAAGGCGGGGCCAGGGTCTGTCACTCCACCGAACACACCTGCACAACACGCTTGAAACTTGGCAACAATATTGGCCCGGAGACACGAAAAAAAAAAAAGGTTGTAGCACACTGGCTCGGGGAATGCTGGGAGTTGAAGTCCCGCCGGCCTGCAAGGGGCTGAGATTGAGGATGACATAGCTGGCACGTAGCCGAGTGATGCACGAGACTCCCAGGATGTGATTCAACCCCAGGACCTCTGCGGTATCTGCAAGCGGACTATCCAGGACTTACTCGCTGGAGCTGCCAACACACAGCGGACCTCCTTCTAAGGAAGGGGAAGTGGCATCCCACCCCCCAACCCCCCGGGGAGGAAGGAACCTCAAGTCCCTGAGAGCATCCATCTCCAAGCCAACATGCAAACTTCACAGCCCTGATGCTCCAGGAACAACCAAGGGTTGGCATCACAAACCAAGGTGGTTTACCAGACAAGAGCACTGATGAGGTTCCCTAGTTGGGTCATGAAAGGTCTGCAAGAAAGCCACCAAGGACCCCCAAAAGCCCACTTCTTCTTTCTCCCTCTTCCTCCTCTTCCTCAACCACCTCCTTCTCCTCCTCTCAGCAAACCCTGCTCCTTTCTAGCACTGATGAAGTTCTCCTTCTCCGCAATCCCATTCCCTTCTAGTGCTGATGATGTTCCCTAGTTGGGTCATGAAAGGTCTGGAAGAAGACAACCAAGCTCAGAGAGAGCACCCAGGACCCCACAGTCTGTTCTTTCTTTCTTTCTTTCTTTCTTTCTTTCTTTCTTTCTTTCTTTC